GCACACTGACAGCCGCTAGAGGGCACTCTAGGCTTGTGTACCAGTATCGGCTACTCCTGTATCACTGAAAATGTATATGTTTATTATTTTCACACTGACAGCCACTAGAGGGCACTGGTGCAACTTATACTCCGGAGCGATTTATAGTCCAGAAAATACAGTATTTAATGGATAAAGGGGAGACAACAACACAAACACTGGTTTATGTGCACATAACACTTTCACTGCTTTTTTTTAATAAAAAAAAAAAACATTTCCTGTATGACCTCTCAGGTGGCACAGAATTGCCTACAGTGTCCAGAACAAGTCCGTGACCCTCTACCTGGACTGTCAGAAAGTGGAGACCCTAGACCTGCTGCGAGGGGATGACGCCATCATCAGCACGGACGGAGTCACAGTGTTTGGGACGCGACTGCTGGATGATAATGTCTTCGAGGTACGGCATTTCTTGTGTTGTGTTTGTGTCTCTTATCTTTGGAGGGTTCTGGGGGGGATTGTCCCAGCGGTCATTAGGTGAGAAGCATGTCCGGACAGGACACCAACCCAAACATTGTTAACATAGTTAACATCCATTTAGACCCATATGCAAATCTTAACGTCAACACTGGGATTTGGTGCAGATGAATTTTAATTTTGCCTGTATCCCTCAGTGTCCTTCATTGGTCCACTGACTTGATTGACAGGACGGGAGTATCCATCTGGGTGACACCTCTGATATAATACAGTGAAAAGTAACACTGCAATAGTTTGGTTCTAAAAAAAAAAACAAACAAAAAATATTTAGACCGAGGTGTCAAACATATGGCGCGTGGGCCAAACCCGGCCCGTTTGATGAATCAATCTGGCCCGCTTGAGGAATTTTGAAAGTATAAAAATAGACAGACACTTCATATTCATATGTTTTGTTAAAATATATTTTACTAAATTTGGACATTGCCTGTTATATTTGTATTTCTTTGCATGAAAACAAAGGGTGAGAACATGGACTTATTGTTATTTATGTTTAATTAAGTTATGATTGTACTGGATTAGGGTTAGGGTTAGTCCAGCCTACCTGACATCTAATTAGGCTGTATGTGGCCCCTGAACCAAAATGAGTTTGACACCCCTGGTCCAAACATTAAGCCTGGAATTGTCATTACTCTCACTTACTTCACTCTGTAATTTAAACCCACTTAGGGAAACATTTAAGCCTCAGGTTGTGGGGTGACAGGGGTCTTTGTTAAATCAAGAAGAAACCAGTACGGAAAGGATAATGGTGTTTTTTGAGAGGAAGGCATGAGGGTAGCAGGTTATTCAGGTCCAGACCTGCTCTGTGCTAACATTTTCATTTTGTAGGGAACAG